AGTTCTTAGCGGTTTCCTAGCCAAAATAGGGAATAGTCGTTTATGCTGGGGAGGTCACCACAATCGTGAATTTATGTCCGGGGTGGCTCGCTCATAGAGTAATTTCAGATAAGGTACACCGTCTGTTCGTCACGCTATCTTTTTTTGGCCGGTTGAATTCAATTCGTGCAATTTCTAATCCTGAACCGATCTTAATGTTACTCTTATTTCTCCTAGTCTCGTCTCACTAGATCTAGAGTATATTGGTATTTGCCACATTAGATATCATAAACTGTTCTAGAGAAGAGCAACCGTTTGCTAATTATTTTATATTCTGCTCTGTTGCTGAAACTATGAGTAGTTTCAGCCTTACAGTTTATTGTAAGTGTTAGTTATGGATCTTGACTGATTAGTTAGAAATACTTTATAGAAATAGTTTTATCAATAATACCTGTCTTAATCTTACTCTTATATGTCCTAGTCTCAATATCTAGTGTACACTGGTTTTCGCAAAAATAGTTCTTCGAGTTTATCCAAAAGGAGAACAACAATCGTCAAATACTTTTTTCAAATTGTTTTGGTGCTGAAACTACGAGTAGTTTCAGCACTTACAGTCAAGTGTCAATGTTAGTGATGGAATTTAATTGGTTAGCTAGTAATATTTTATAAAGATAGCTTTTTCAATAAAATAGTTGGATATAAACACTAGCTTTAAATTGATTCCACTCATCCGTGGTTTAGATAATTTTTTAATTAATTGCTGATTGTTTCGAAGGATGGATAGAGAGTTTTCTTGATTCTAAGAGTAGACGCTTCTGAAGCAGTGGCTGCGTGAACTGGCAAAAAGAAACAGTTGCTCGTGTTGCTGAGTAGTTGTCTTCATGGAGAGAAGGGGTACAGCTGCTCGTTTTTTAGAAGTGGGTCTCGTAAATGATAATTGTTTTGAGTGATCGTGTCAAATTTTCAGGTTTATGCAAGGATATGTTAATTTCGTTCATTTAGTGCAATTACAAGCATACTCAAGTATTCATCGAATTCACACTTCTCTGTGTGAAGAGTCGAGGGTTGTGAATACGGCAACAAACCGAGAGGTTTGCCATTCCAGAGTCGGAATATCATCGAGTTTTCATCTAACTTTTCTGCTCGTTTCTTTTGCTCGAAGAAATCTTTTTATATTGTATATTCATATCTCCATCTTGTTACTGAGATCTATTTTAATTAGGGACAGTTTTGAAACGCGTGAAAGCAAATTAAATTAGTTATCAGTTAAATTCTAATACTTGATATTCATTTTTAAACAATACTACGGAGGCGAGTTCGGTTATTTGTGTGGAAAGAATGCGTGAATATGGGCGAGTGAATGAAAATCTTTCAAAGGTTATGAAAAAAGCAAGCGTCAAAAGATTAGTTATCAATAATTTACTCTCATTATTAAATGAATACTTCATAATTGAACTTTAAAACATATATATCAGTTCATTGCGTTTGTATTGAATTTACTTCACTAGGATAATTTATGATACGTACTTAGATTAAAAATAGAAATTTGAAATAGACTTTTAAAAAATTTCTAGATGAATGCTTGTTGAAATCTAAAAAGAAAAGTTGAAACACAATTGTAAAACCGGTGAGTCATTTATTTATTTGTTTTGGTGATAAACAAAACTTCCAAGAGTATTCAGGGTCATGGAAAAACCGATGGGGGAAGCTAGTTTTGATAGTGTCAGAACCTACTAAAAGCTCGGCAAGCATGCGTATTAGATATTTATTGCAAAGCAGTGGCCGAAAACGTTCGAGTGCTCTGTTGATATTGACTTTTTTGGTAATAGCTGAAAATCCGTGGCTAGGATTTGGTATGAGATTGTTAAGTTTTCGGTTGAAGTTAAACTTATGTAAGTTTTTGGAAGAGTTATTTCGATGGTCTGTACATATTCATGCGGCATGATGATGGGACGGGAGTCTTCTAGTGGGGAGTTGTTAGTTAAGGGCGAAAGATATACATTTGACGGACAGGGTTGTAATTACATATGATGCCATGTAGGTTAGTAGAATTAAACAGTATGTAAAATTTAAGAAGTAGGGAGATGCGTATTTAGACTCGATAAATATGAAGCGATGGTGTGGATTTCGTGACTGTGAACTGTGTATATAGTGCCGTTGGATGAAATCATAATAATATGTGTAAGTGAAGGGTGAAGGTTAATTTTCTTTCCAATGTAACTTCATGCGAGCAGTCAATATCTCGTTCTTTTGGTGCAATAAAATTGAATGTTAGTGCAAAGTGATTGAAATTGTTGAAAAATGGTTTAGTCTTATTTAATGTGTGACCGATGATGTGGTCGAGTTTTCTATTTGTGCTGTCAACAAAAAAAAATCTGATTTGATGAAGACTTTTTCCCTTAGTTGTGGGTTGATATTAGATTCTGTGTCGTAAGGTGAATCTTCCATATATCTAGTGACAGTGTGGTCATATTGGTTAATAGAGGATCGATTAGTTTTTTGCGCAATGAGTCGGTTTAGT